TTTTCGCACGCCAGTAAAGTCAGTAAGGCTGGGAAATTGACCAATCACAGTTCATTATTCGACTTACGACATCCAATGTAGACCCAGCCTTAGGCTGATGGCAGACAACCATCCGTAAGCGCTTACGGCTTAAGTTTTTCTCTGCCTTACCGTAAGTTTACGGCTTACGGAAGTCCGTAAGCGCTTACGGATGGTTGTCTGCCTTCAGCCTTTCTGACTTTACTGGCGTGCGAAAAACGCAGCACCAGTAATTTTCATTGCTACCAACTATACTGTTTTCACTGGCAGTAACTAAATCCATTTTCGAACACATCCCATGTAATCCTTACACTATGCTCCCGACTGCAACAGAGAGAAACCTAAAGCCTCGTCTACATAGAAGTCGTAAAGTCATAGTCGTAAGAATAGTCGACTATGATTGGTCAATTCTTATGTGTCTGACGAAATTGACCAATCGCAGTCGATTATTCTTACGACTACGACTCTGCGACTCGCATGTAGACCACGCAATACTCAAGAACGGAATGCGCGGAACCAGCGCGGCCAATCACAGGCGTCGGGCTTTGTTTCTGGAAACCGTGGAATTAATTTTTCCCGCAGTTGGCGGCTCTGCGTGCGAGAAGGAGCATAGAAATTTCGGGCACGCTTGTGCATTCGAGGTTAATCGGCACGGTGTGTGCGAAAAATTTTTGTATTTACACTTCAATTAGAAAGTAAGTAAAGGCACGCGTCTCTTATTTGCGACGTAATATGCGCTTTCATTAAGATCTGCCACGAGAAGTGCTATTGTCTCGTTATCGCATATCACGTATGCGTTTACTTGGACGTAATCGGCGCGCCGGAAGACGCTGTGCACGTGAATGTTGAAAAGTTAACAATCTCATGTATTCTCGAAGGAGCACAAACACCGCGTTACAAATACTCAATTTGTGTAGACCGCATAGAGCAACGTGTATCTTGTACGTATCTTTTACAGGTTACATATTTACACCATGGCTGCGACGATGCCAATAAACCCCAAGCCGTTCCTAAACGGTTTGACCGGTAAGCCGGTGATGGTAAAGTTAAAATGGGGCCACGAGTACAAGGGCTATCTCGTCTCGGTCGATGGGTACATGAATCTGCAGCTTGCGAACACCGAGGAGCACATAGACGGCAACTGCACCGGGAACCTCGGCGAAGTGTTGATCAGGTGTAACAATATTATGTACATAAGAGGAGTGGAGGAGTCGGACGAGGAGGGCGAGATGAAGGATTGAACCGACGAGAATCTAAGATCTTAATGTATATTACCATTTTGTATTCTTAAGCATTAACTTAATTCAACTAATAAAACGAGATCATTTTATGTAGCTGTTTGCGAACGTGAAGGTTCACTGCGAGTCCAGGTTAACACGGTTTCGGTACGTTGGTGACTATAGGCTTCGGCCGTGACTTGAACACGAGTTTCCTCTTCACTATAGCTTTAATCAAGTACTCCGTCTTTACCGTGGCTTCTTCCTCGATCATTTCATTTCCTGCATCACGACGCCTCTCCAGTACAATCAGCGGCCGGTCAAGTGTTATTTCCTTCCCGTGCAATACGTGAATACCGATAATTAAAATTGGCACTCCAGCTTTCGTGAAGTGAAGATCGCCGAGTAATTGATTATCTGGATTCGAATCGACTTTTTCGAACTTTAGATCGCCCTGAAGATCTATGATCGCCCAAGTCTTTACGTCTCCGTCTCTAAAAGATCATCGCGAAGATTTGTTTGACATACAGCAGAAATGTGTCAGTGTTCTAAAATGAGTGGAATCTATAATTGATAAATACCTTTTGATCGGCACGATCATCTTCGCCAGGTTAGGCGGTTAAGGGTACGTTCAATTTCTTTCGTAGTGCTTGTAAGGTTGTTAGAATCAGTTTACTCTTGTTTAGCAAATATTAAAAGGACGAACGATGCTTTCTTTTTTTTCCTTTTTTTTCACGTGCGTTACCAGCGTCAAATGGAATGTATGTGCGTGACATACACACATACTCCAAATGGCGCCAAAAGTGACGTTCGTAAAATTACCTCTGTCGGAGTGGATCGCAAGTATTTCCCTAGAAACTGGCGAGAAGTTGGCTACGTTCAGAAAACACCACTGCTCACTGAGCGTTCAGCAAGCACTTGCGTCTGACCGGTTTACATTTTTAGATCTAAAGGCCTGTGTCCATTATGTTGAAACTTGATCAAAGTTCTAGTTCCTTTATATGGAAAAGCTACAGGTTCATTGGCTACATATTTCTTGGAACTTGAACTTGGACGACAGTCGAATGGTCTATTTACACAAAAATTATTTATTGACAGTAAATCGTATGAACATTTAAACGATCAGATTCATTCCTTTATTCTAAGTAGTCAAAGTCCTCGGGAATGTTAAATTGTTTGTTAAGATCTTGTTTAGAGATGTCGAATTTATTCTTGCACCAGTTCTGTACAGCAAAAATATTGTCTGTCCATATATTGGCTGCATCTTTGTATTTCTAAACAGAATGTTATATATATTATGACAAAAGAGCAACAAGTGTAGAGTAGAGAGTCTCTAGAAACCTATGCCCATGATGCTAGAATTTGGCCAGGTTTTAGTTTCAAGAAATGTGTAGCCAATTAACTTGCAGCTTTTATGGAATAGCTGCGAGTTGATTGGCTGGCATCGTGGACATAGGCCTTAAAAGGTGCACGTTGATTGGCTACACATTTCTCGGTTCTAGAATTCGGACCTAGCATCGTGGACACGGGCCTTTAGGCCTTAGTCCACGATCCAAGAACTGTTATAATTATTATATAATTCCGATTAATTTTATTTTGATTATACCTCCGCTTTTTCATTCATTTCTGCAATTACTTCCGGTTCGACACCACTGAACTGAACAATTTGCTTTTTTATTTCCTGTTCCTCCATCCTCAGCTGTTCTATCTCCTTCAGCAATTTTCTCTTCTCTTCTGTGTCGTTCTTCAATTCCTATATGACATATTTTAGGTTGACAAGAATGGAATTTAAATTTTATAAACTTAGGCCCGGTTTCACCAACGCGAGTTAATCTAATCGGTCGGTTAACTTAACAGGGTGCCAACATAAAACTTCTTTATTAACCTATTTTCTTGGTTAATAAAGAAGTTTTATGTTGGCACCCTGTC